ACCACCCCCCCGTGCTCCTCATCCTCCTTCCTCCTCGTCGTCGTCGTCGTCCTCCTCCTCCTCCTCCTCATCCTCCTCGGGCGAGAAATGCGCATTCGCGCCCGCATAAATGTGACCCCACCCTTGCGATTGGGCTTTAAAAACAGCGGCGCTTTGTAGCGCGCGCTGTTTGCCTCATCCCGTGCACGCCGATTGGCTGTTAGAAAGATGCTCTATCCCACTGAGTAGGATAGCTGCCGGGGCGGAAATTCGAGCAGTTATTCGTGGTTTCGTTGTCCTGCTTGGGTTTTGCATCCTAGTTGATTCATCCTGTGCGCTCCCATCTCCTCCCTCCAAACAAAAATGTAACCCCACCCCCTCCTCCGTCACCCACTCCCTCCTCCTCCCTCCCCCCTCTCCTGGCATTCCCGACGCGCCCTTCGGCTTCATCGGCAGGAATGCCAAAATGCCCTCTCCTGGCGCGAGCGTGAGCCGTTCGGGCCCGCCTCCAAGGGATCATCGGAGGCTTCTTCGGGCCTCTGTGGCCGCCTTGCAAAAATTAGGGCGGGTGTCATATGCAGTTCATATGCGCAACATATTGTGTTTTTATGTTGCCTATTTCTCGCCTGAGGAAGGAGGGGGGGGGAGGAGGGAGGAGGAGGGGGAGGGGGAGGAGGATCCCGCCAGGATGTTGGAGGCGGCCGGGGGGTCTGAACTGGTTGGGAACCCCGAAAATCGGTACAGAGGGGGGGATCAAGGCGAAATTCGCTCAAAATCTGCCCCCGGACCTCTCCCGGGGCCCATCCGACGCAGCTTTTCACCCCGGATCCGTTTTTGACGGCCCCGGGGCCCGAAAACGGGCCCCGGGGGCCGAAACGGGCGAAAAACCTCCCCGAACCAGTGCTGGGCCACCTCAGCCCCCCAGCCGGCTCCAACCAGGATGGAGTACGCTTCCTCGCTCGCGGACACGCGATGGGAGCGCATGGAGCAGCCGCCCGCCGAGGCCCGGGTCGGGCGAAAGGGAGGGTTTGGGAAAGGGGGGGTTACGAAATCTGCTGCATGCAGCTGGTTTCGGCCCCGCCGAGGGGCCCATTCCTCGATACGTGGGCGCCTCCGGCGCCGGGAGGCGCCGGGAAAATCAGCTACGTGAGCTGATTCGCTAACCCCCCCTTTGCTACCCCCCCCCTTTCGTCCGCCCCGAGAGGCCGGGGCCGAGCCGGAGGTCGACGAGGCGTCGAAGCCTGTTCCTGCTCCACCTCCTCCTATTCCTCGTCGCCTTCCTCTTCCGCCCCCTCCTTCCCTCAGGCGTGGTTTCGCGCGCGCCTTGGCGCCGGCGTCGCGGAGGTCCCGTTGGGTGCCAGCGCTGGCGGCGCATCTGACCCGCGGGGCGCGCCTCGAGCGCTCGATTTCGGGGCGCAGCTCGCGCGCTGGGTCCAGGGCGCTGGCCCACAGCCAGTCGTAGACGTGGCCGCGCCGCTCCACTTGCAGGATTTCTCCCGGGGGCTGTAGGCGCATAAAAAAAAACTCTTTTCCCCTTATCTTCACTCTCCCCTCCTGCCCCTCGGGGCGTCGGCTTTGGGCTCGCCCGGGCTGATTCCCAAACCATTCGATCGGACGTGTGCATTTTTCGGCCACGAGGTTCCTGGGGATTTTTTCTGCGTTTTCGGCCTCGGGAAGCCGCTTTCGGGCCCCGGGGGCGTCGGAAATCGATCCGGGGTGAAAAACTGCTTCGGATGGACCCCAGGAGGGGCCCCAGGACAGCTTATAAAAACAGCTTGTTTTATAACGTACTCCTGGGCCCTCTTCGGTTCCTCTTGGAGCCCCCTCTGGGGGCCTCTGGGAGCCCTCTAGGGGCCCTCTTGGACCCTTCCCAGGGCCCTCGGAGGGGCCCAGAGGCGCCCCAAAACGGGCCCAAGTGAGCCCCAGGACAGCTTATAAAAACAGCTTGTTTTATAACGTACTCCTGGGCCCTCTTCGGTTCCTCTTGGAGCCCCCTCTGGGGGCCTCTGGGAGCCCTCTAGGGGCCCTCTTGGACCCTTCCCAGGGCCCTCGGAGGGGCCCAGAGGCGCCCCAAGACGGGCCCAAGAGGGCCCCAGGACAGCTTATAAAAACAGCTTGTTTTATAACGTACTCCTGAGCCCTCTCGGGGGCCTCTTGGAGCCCCCTTGGGGGCCTCGGGTCGGCCTTGCGCAATCAAATGGAGGCCCCAAGAGGGGGCCCACGGAGCCCCAAGAAAGGGGCTCAATGAGCCCCCATGGGAGACTTAAAGAACCTCCGCGAGGGTCGAGAATCAAGGTTCGAGGGCCGATATTTTCGACATCTCGTGGCGTCCTCGTCGCCGCGGCTGGGCCCGCTTCGAAATCCGCGCAACACAGGTCGAGGGGGCGGACCTCCGAGGGAGGTGGATCGACGGCCGAGGGTCGAGAGAGCGCCAAGACGGCACTCTTCCGCCTCCTCCACCTCCTGCACTCCCCTCCCCATGGGGCCGCGCGCGAGCGAGCCTGGCGAGAGACCGGCGCGGGCGAGCCCGGCGCGGAAGGCCTCCCAAACACCCATGAAGTCATCCGAGGGATTTTCTCGCTCCGCCCCCCCCCCCTTCCTCCCCCTATCAACCTCCCCGCCCCAATATTGATCCTCGTCCTCCCCCTCCTGCTCTCCCGCTCGCCCTCTTCATCCACGGCCATTTGGGCGTTCAAGGTTGTGCGAGGGAGAGAGGGGGAGATTGCCATACGCACAGAAAGAAGCCGCCCGCTTTCTTTCGGCATACCGCTCCGCAGTCGCGATGGCGACGCTGAAGCGCCCCGCCGCCGTTGCAGGTCTCGCCGAGGAGGGCGCCCCCGCCAGGCCGGAGGGGGCTGCGTCCGCCGCCGCCGCCGAGCAGGCCCCTTCCCCGGAGGTTGCACTCAACGACGAGTCGTCTGCAGTCCAGCCCGCCGAGCAGATCGCGAAGAAATGCCAGACGCGCAAGGAGGCCATTCCCGAGACGGACAAGTTCCAAACCTTAAAGAAATACGACCCTACCAAGCCGGCTGTGAAACCCCAGTACAGGTGCTCGGACTGCCACAACGCGCGGGGCCGCGTCCTCACGCTCTGCAAATCCAACGAGGAGTTCGGCGACGGATTCGAGAAAATGACGCCCGACCAGCGCAGCAAGCTCATCGCGGACGCGAAGGGCTTGTTCAACGACCAGCTTTCGAAAGTCATCGAAGAGACGGTGACGGAGTACAAAACGCAGAGGGCCCTTCGCAACTTCTCTTCTGAAGGCGAGATGGTCGACGTCGACAAGTTGGACGACCACGAGAAGTTCAAGAACGACCCTGCCGCGAAGGCCCACATCCTCGAGCACGGGATCAAGAACCACTGCGAGCACAGGAACAAAGAACAAGTATGGGTTCCAACGCACTTCTTGAAGCTGAGCAAGGAGGAGGCCACCGGCAAGGAGTCCAAGCGCAAGATCTCTTGCGAGACGGATGTGAAAATCGAGCAACAGAGGAAGGGGCCCGGCAACAAAAAGAAGGCGACCGAGAACGGCGAGGGCGGTGGCGAACCGACTGGCGAGGGCGGCAGCGAGCCGGCACACCCGCAGGTTACTCCCGCCGTCTTCAAGCGCTTGGAGTCGGGGCTGCAGAAAATGGAGAGCTCCGTTCTGACTCTCACGACGAAGCTCGTGATGGCGCGGGCTCCAGAGAACGCGGACAGCATCCCGAAGAAGACTATGGAGGCCGCCGATAAGCTTCCCGCGGACTCGGAGGCGGACGTCCAGAAGCTCAAAGATTTCATTGCAGCCACGCGCGGCCCAAAGCAGGACATCAAGGACCTCCTCGAACACGTGGCTGAGGCGCTCAAGAAGAGCAAGGCGATTTGCGGCAAACTCGACGCCTTGATGGATGATGAAGATGAGATGGGCGCTTAGCTATGATCCCTACTTACAAATATCTTCCCCTAGGCTCCTCCCTTCGGTCGCTCGACACCACGGGCACGCTGTCCACCTGCGGGCTCGCGTTTTAGCAGCGTTGCCAGGAGCGAAGCAAAATCCTCATCATCCTCTCTCAACCTAACCCCATCCCTCCTGCATTTAAACGCCGTCGTCGCACTTGTCTTCGGCTCGCCGCGGCAAGAAAATGCGAATTTATTAGATTATCCTGCGCCTTCCCCCCCCCCTATTCCTCCTCGCATTTCCTCCCCACGCGCCTCCCCCAAAACATTCGCACCCAGATAAATGCGAGCCCATGCCCTCCGTCCTCGATGCCCCATCCCACCTTCGGGGGACGACCGGGCCACTTTCGGCCAAGAATTTCGAGGCGGATCCAGCCGCGACCACGAGGGGGGCCTGGGCGGTTTCCCCCGGGGCCGTAGCGGACCCGAGGAGCTTCCCCAGGGTCAGTTTTTCATCCTGGGTTCGTTTCTGGTGGCCCCGGGGCCCGAAAACGGGCCCCAGGGGCCGAAAACGACGAGAGACCCCCTCGAACCTCGAACCTCGAACCTCCACGAAAAATCCACGAATAAGTCGAGGAGGAGGGGTCCCCTAAGCCCTTCGGGGAAACCCTCCAGGGGGGCCCTGGATGCCACAAGGAATGCCCGTAGACGAGCGATAGATGAGCGATAGACGAGCGATAGACGAGCGATAGACGAGCGATAGACGAGCGATAGGACAAGGCGGTCGTCTATCGCTCGTCTATCGCTTGTCTATCGCTCGTCTATCGCTCGTCTATCGCTCGTCTATCGCCCATCTTCGCTGGCTCAATGCACCGTTCGCGGTTTTTTGGGCTCAAGTGTCCGACGAAGGCCGCGGTATGGATCTCACCGCGGAAGTTGGAAGAACACCTGGCCTGCCAGATTTCTCTCAATTCGCTGGGGATCTATCTCTCCCAAGGCGTTTGCGAGTTGCGTCCCCGTGCGCTGGCCTCTTAGGTTGTTCTCACGCTTTGCAATTTTTGAATGTTGGAGCAGACTCTATTAATGTTTTCGACGTGGAAGACAAATACTATACGTACCTTTGCAACCATCTGGCCAGCACCGGCATGGACCCGTCGGACATAAGACTACATCTTGGCCGTCCTGTGGGTGACGTCACGCAGGTCGATTTGCGCTCCTTAGAGCGACCGGTGGACGTTCTGGCGGTTGGGCCCCCGTGCCCACCTTGGTCAGCCCAAGGAAAGCACATGGGCAAGGGGGACATGCGCGCACAGGTATTCCATCGGATCCTCGATTGGGTGTTCTACATGGTGCACTGCTGTGGGCTTCTATGCGCCATCGTGGAGAACGTGCCTGGGATTAAAACTGTTCTGGCGGACGGCCGGGAGGCGCCGATCGATCAGTATGTCAGGCTCTTGGAGCAGCACGTGCCTGAGTTTACGTGGCGCGTTGAGACATTGAAGTTGGTGGACTATCTATGCCCTCAGAACCGCGTGAGGGTGTTTCTGGTGGGGCTAAGGAGAAACCTCGGAGACGTTCCTCGGCCATTGATGCCATTCGGCACCCGCCTTCTAGCAGAAGCACTAGCTTCCGGCTTGCCATGCATGTCACGCGCGTCCCTGACGGAGGCGCAACAACGAAATCTGAAGGCTTACGAGAATCGCATTCGCAGCCTGGTCGAGGAGGGCCGCGCGCCCCGCAACTCGACGGCAGTGGCGTCCTTTGACCGGGCAGAAGGGATGGGCTTCAATACCACGCTCTCGGTCGATGTTTCCCCGACGTTGACCTGCCGTTCCTTTTATTTCGCGGTCCTGTCGGTCGAAGACGTTGTCAGCGACACTCCCGATGAAAACCGCCGATTGTTTAGAAAACTGACCAGCCCAGAGCGCTTCGCTCTGCAGGGGTTCCCGCCTTCCACAGCTTTGCAGATCGATTCCAAGCTCGCAGTGTTCAGCACGGGGAACGCGTATCCCCCACCGCTGTTGTTGGCAGTTCTAGCACCACTCCTGAAGAGGATGGTCGGGACAGACGGATTTGATTTGGCAGCGTGGCCCCCGGCGAGCGCTCTCTCCTCCGCCGAACCGCTTGGCCTGCGTGCGTTTTCCAAAGCGATCCGTCGGCCTGGTAAAATCGTCGATCGGGGCAAGCGCCGCCTTTTTTTGGAGGCCAGGCAACGCAGTGCACGCAAGAAGCGGCGCAGGAGCAGCAGCAGCGCTTGACAAAAAAAACAACATCACCACCTCCATCATCGCGATGTCCATCGCCACCATCATCACCACCGTCGCCATCATCAGTACCGCCGTCATCTCCACTCGCAATAATTTAAACTTATACCCTTCAATTCAGGGGCTCTGTGCGGATTAGGGTGCTGCTGCTGATGATGCCAGCGTAAGCGCGCCAGCTCCCAGGACGGCCCAAAAGGGCCCCAAGACGGCCTCAAGAGGGGCCCACGAGGGGGAGCCCGAACCGAAAATCCGAGCCTTCCGCCCCAAGACGGCCCCAGGATACCCCAAGAGGCGCCCAAGATGCCCCAAGGGGCGCCCAAGAGGCACCCCAGAGGCCCCGAGAGGCCCCCGAGAGGCCCACAGGAGATCCCAAGAGGCCCCAAAACGCCCCCCAAGAGGTTTCGAAACTGCCTCCAAGAGGCCCCCGAGAAGCCCCCCACCCAAGAGATCCCAGCGAACACCGCGCGAGCCTCATGCCCGCAACCCGGGCGTGGTGGCGGGATATGCCGAAAGCACGTGGATGCTGAGACTTGTATTTGTCAGCTCGCAGGGAGGTTCGGTCCACGAACCGCGCGAGGGGTGCGCCGAGATGGGTAGAGGAGAGGAAGGGGGGATGAGGGGTCAGCACGGGCGAGCCCAGAGCCGAGGGGGGACGTCAAAGGGCTCCACGACACAAAGCCGCCATGCTAGGCCACCCCGGGGGGCGCGAAGATAATTTGCATTCGCGCACCATGATGGCCCGTGCCGGAGCAACCGCCCATCGCCGCGGGGGGCGGCGCGAGAGCTATAGATGGCGCGAAGATAACCACGAGTCGCACATCCCGGGGCGCGGCGAATCAGAAAGAGCCTCCCCGTCGAGGGATTAAGAAATGGACGTCCTTCCATCCGTAGCCATATCCCTCGATCTCGAGCGAGGGTGGCTAAATTGTGAGGAAGTATCAAGCGGGAGCCGCTGCTGCTGCTGTAAACCAAGGGGCCAGGAGCTCAGTTTGAACCCCGTGATTTTCCCTGCTAAGAAAAACCGGATGCGATCCCTGGGGAAGCACTTCAATTGAAGAAGCACAATTGTCACAGGAGGGGGATCAACAATAATTGTTCTTCAGTCGTGAGAGTTCAACAACAGTCCTAATCTGTCAGGGAGTCCTAAGCGTGAGCGCGACTCCTGGGTGCCTGGGTGTCGGGAGCGCGGCGCTTGAGTAAATTGCAAGAAGTTCCAACGCAAGGGCGCTATTCAGCAGTAAATTGCAGGCAAATCTCCAGCGAGAGCGCGACTGCAGAGCGCCGGGAGAATAAATTCTAAGGAAGTCCCAAGCGAGAGCGCGACTCCTGAATAAAACGCGAGGAAGTCTCGGGCGGGAGCGGGGTCCTGGCTAAATTGTGAGGAAGTCTCAGGCGGCCGCCCCTGCAGGGAATCGCCGACGAGACCGTGCCGCTCGCGGCCAGCCGGCGAACCGCCGGCCCGCTCGCCCCCTGACCGCCAGGGAGAAGGACGAGTTTCGCTCGCACGTTGCCACTGCGCACCGCGCGTGCACTTGTCTGCTGGAAAATATGGCAATCCTCCTCGTCCTACCGACGGGGCCACGACGCGCGTGGCGAGCGAGGGGCGCGCAGTTTCACCCGTTTTTCCTTCCTCCTCCCCCGCCTCCTCCTGCAAATCCTCCGCGGGGTCAGCACTGGGCTCGCCCGTGATCCCCCTCCTCCTTTTCCCCCTCCTATATACATTCCGATCGTTTTCGGTTTTTCGCCGCTTTCGGTCCCCGGGGGCCGTTTTCGGGCCCCGGGGCCCTCACAAACGGACCTGGGTGCAAAATTGCGTCGGATGGACCCCCGGAGGTGTCCGGGGACGGACTTTGAGCCGAGTTGCATTATACTTTTTCAGCAAGGTCTCAACTTATAAGCGTAGTCTCAGATTCGGGCCTTCTCCGTGGAATTTCTTGATCGGAGTCCCCCGCATAAAGATGTTTTAGGGTGAGCTGGAGCAGCGGGGCGCAACAGTAGTTAGACACTGAAGTACTGGGATACCCTCCTCGCTCTGGCGGGGCCTCCCATGGAGGGGTGGGAGGGGCGCGAAACCTGTGGAATATGATGGTATTGCGATGCCCTCCTTGCTCTGGCGGGGCCTCCCAGGAGGGGTGAAAGGGGCGCGAAAGCTGAAATAAAATTGCATTGCGATACCCTCCTCGCTTTGGCGGGGAATCCCAGGAGGGGTGGGAGACGCGCAACTTATGAGTAGTGGTAGTAGTAGTAGTAGTAGTAGTAGTAGTAGTAGTAGTAGTAGTAGTAGTAGTAGTAGTAGTAGTGGTAGTAGTAGT